CCATGACATTCTTACAGGTTAAAAAAAGGCAGCATAATACTAGTCATAAGACAAACTGAAAACAGTACAGGGCAACAGAGAAGATGTGTATCAGCACAGACAGACTAGAATTCAGTATTTCACACTTGCCTCAGTAAGGAATGAGACTCCTAAAAAGATTAGTGTAAACGACAGCTTACAAACTTCTAGCCATCAATGCTGCACTCTACCAGCAATACCTTACTGGATGAGGACAAGCCTCAATCTAGCAGAACTGGGACTTCTAAGACATGTAACAATCCTTACCCACAAAAAATAGGCATTCTTTAAGAATAGCTTAAGATCAGATTTTTTTTTTTAAACCTCACTGAAGTAGCTTAGGATGATCAAGTCTACTAGTAGAACTTGGATTACTTCAAACAAATTGCAGAGACTTTTACAAGTTAGCTGTAAAAAAGTATCAGTGAGAGAGACAGGGAGGGAGGGAGAAAAAGAAAAAAACACAACACTATCACTTTCACCTTTGGTTTAGTTCAGCACAACCGGCTCGAGGCAGCGTAACAGCCAGCATCACCCTAAGACCTGCCCCACTTAAGGCAGCATCACCCTAAGACCTGCCCCACTTCAATTTCCTTTCATTTTGCCATATTTTAGTCAGACAAAAAAATGCTCAGGTTTTAATATTAAAAAGGCAATAACCAAGTATTTTCTAGCTCCTCCAAAAGGCCACTTTTCTGAACACTGCAACTACTGTCCCTAAATTATCCGTTATGAGCAAAAATAACAGTCTGTACATGCAATAACTCCTTCTTTGGTTTCTTTAATGTACCTTAATTTAAAAGGTATTGTTCTGTATGAGATTGTGACTGTTCGCAAGGAGAAAAGTACAGCTCTTTTCTGAAACAATCTTCCAATAGGTATGTCCTCAGACACTTCAGAGCATAAGAGGTCCAATAAAAAACACACCAAGACGCATCTTTTCAAAAATACACTTCAGCTCTCACAGGAGTGACTCTAGAGTGTGAACTGAATAGCAGATCTACAATCTTTGGAGTACATTCCAAGACGACTGTATAGGAGTACACAGGCATTAAGGCTGAAAGGAAGAGCTGCTTGTTTGATTATGTGCCTCAATATTTCATATTTAAAAATGGAAGAGCTTCAAATTTGGAATGTCATCAGTTACATCAGGAACTCACACTGATGCTACTGTGGCAGCATCAAAGGGACAAAAGAGCAGGATTTTATGATCACAATGAACAGAGAAGTTCTCACCACCTATTTGTGGCATACTGAGACTGCAGTGCCACACACATCACACCCTTTCCCAAGCAAACAAATGCCCCCGCTCCCAGAATTCCTACAAGAGATCCTGAAGTTTACACTGGGCCCATATGCATGAAGTAAGAATTGCCTGCCATGCCATCTTTATTTTGCTCCAAATGATTAGCTCGCACTTAAAAAATAAATAAGCAGTTGCCCATTTCCCACAAGCCAAAAGCTGGTGACCCATCTAGCTATATTTGGTATATCCAGCATTCTTCAATAAAAAGAAACATTTAAGATATAGATATACAGAGGTTGCCAGGCTACTATAATTCTTCTTCTACATGGAACATACTAGAAAGTCCCATTCTACATACCAAGCTATACATTCTGCTAAACTGTCCTTTAGCAAAAGGATTTCCACTACCTTAAGCATACCAACTGAAACATCTCTGGAAAAGGTAAAGTTCAGCTCACAGGATGCAACCATTCTATCACCAAGTACCATACAACTACCTTATTAGGAAATCCATTTCAGGATGCAACCATTTTATCACCAGGTACTGTACAACTACCTTATTAGGAAATCCATTTCATTTATTCTTTACAGAGAAAGAATAAAAAATAAAAAGCCTGATAAAAGAAAAAAAATTCAGGAAAGGACTGAAATGTAGTTTGTGTGTCAACTTTCACACTCACTTTTCTTTGGGATGCTATTCCCAAATGTTTGGGTAATTGAAAGCAATCCAGCATGCGCCTCACCTGTGATTTACAGCACCTGGAAGCATTAGCTTACAGAGCTGGAGAGCAGTGCCCACGGTTCCTACCGCTGTTACTGCTGCTTGCAAGAGCCCGGCTGGACAAAAATAGCCCTCCCTGGAAACATGGCGGCTTGCTGCAAACGCTGCTGCCAACTGGAGAAAGCCACTTGCTTTGTAGGAAATACTCACCACGTGCAAGCCTTGGCATCAAAGGACGTAGGGAAGCCCGTTAAGGATTAGTAAGGCAGGATTACAGACAGACCAAGGCTAAAAACACACGTGAAGGAGGTCTGAAAGCCTCATCTATGACCTTCTCCTAAGAAACATAACCAGGGCCTTATAAGAGCCTGGGATTTCCTCGTACACACAGCGCCTGGAATTTAAACCTCGCCGTAACCCCCGACGCGGCCAAGGTCACGCCGTACATCAGGGATGAGCCGCGGCCGGCTCTCCGCT